GACGCCTGCCACGCCTCCACAGGGCCCTCGCAGAACACCTGCGCCAGGGAGGCCGAAGCGACGACTACCTCACGCCGAGGCACCACCGTTCGGTAGCCCAAGCGGCCCTCGACGGCATCCTCAATGTGCAGGCCTGCGGCATCCCATGCTACTCCGACGCCCTCCACTCGATCTCCCAGGCGACCTCGGCAGAGCAAGCCCGTCTCCAGGACGGGGCTAAGCGGCAATGGAAACAGAGATTCGCCACCTGGAGCAACGACCTCTGGTCCTACACGACTCCCATGTTCAAGGCCACGCCGCCGACGCCCGCCATGAACGTCCACGACATGCGCCAGCAATGGCATGACCAATGGTGCTCCGACAACTACGACGGCGACGCGCACCACCAACACTGGAAGACCTATGCCGCGGACACCGTCTTCCCGAAATCCGACAAGGCCTCCGACTGAACACCCTCCTGGGACCAGTTCCGGGAAGCCTTCCAACGTGCCAAGGGTTGCCCTGGGTTTGACGGCTGGAGCTGTAAGGAGCTCCGCGCTCTGGCCCACTGGTTCCCTGCCATCGTCCGCGAGCTGTTCGACCTCTGGACTGCCACGTCCACAGCAGCTGTCCAAGCCAAGGGCCACCTCCCGCCCGACCTCCTCTCCAGGGTCTTGCCCTGGAGGGTAGCAGGAGTGCCCAAGGGGGACAGCGACACCTGGCCGATGTCGGGCGGCTCGGTACTCCTCAGAGTCTGGCTCAGGTCCCTATCCCAAGCCGTGCCTGAGCCGCCAGACAATCAGCACGCCAACCGCTCTGGTGCCAGCGTCACCCACGCTATACAGTCAACGCGCATATTAAGGACAAACGACTTTTTCAAGGGTACCCTTGGGTCCTTGCCTGCCTCAGCCTCTGCGGCCCGTCCCTAGCAATTTGCGCAGGCCAGTTTCTCAGGTTCCCTGGGGGTTTGGCCGCCTGCCGCCCATGATACTTCGACTTCGGCCTCCAAGGGTCTTGCGCCCTTACCACGCGTCGTTACCAAAGGTTTCACTGCAGCCGCCTGGCTATCCGACTGCGCGGACTCCTCCGACGGAGTGGACATGGACATGCCACGGGCCTGCGACAACATCGGTCATGAGCCAGCCCAAGAAAGCCTCATCCAAACAGCCCGCGCGTAGCCCCCGCCGCGGCTCCTCCTTCTCCTCCTCCTCCTTTTGCTTTTCCGCCTCCTCCTCCTCCTCCTCCTCCTCCTCCTCCTCCTTTTGCTCTTCCTCCTCCTCCTCCTCCTCCTCCTCCTCCTCCCCCTCCTCCTCCTCCTCCTCCTCCTCCTCCTCCTCCTCCTCCTCCTCCAGAGCGGCCTGCCAGACCTCGTGGTCTACACCTGCCGCGCTGCGTGGAAGGGGCCCCCGCCACTGCTCCCTCATGGGGCACGACGGCGCCACCGGTCCACCCACAGCGGGGCCTCCCGCCAGTGGACGCCATGGCCCCAGCCACGACGGTGGCTTGCCTCACCCCTTGGCAGCCCCTATCCTCTGGCCACGCCTTCATGGACGATCGCGCGATTGTCTCCCCCTCGCCGGACGCGCTGGCCACCGACATTGCAGATACTCAGAGCCTCGACCGACGAGTGGGCTTTGTGGAAAACATCGGCCAACGACAACACTGGTCCGACCAAGACGTCGTTCCACGACGCATCGAGCACCTCGGAGTGCTCGCAACACCGACCGACTCCAGCTTCGGCATCATTCCACGCCAAGGGTGGGCAAAGCTGGAGACCTCCATCGCCGTGCTGGCCTCCATCCCCAGCAGCAACCAGTTTCGCCTCAAGCTCGCCTTCGCCTACATCCGTGCTTTGTGGCTCTGGGCGAGCCCACTGGTCATCCCGCCGCCCATCAAGTGCGCCAGGACCCTGGCGCGAGCCGTCTGGCACACCGGTTGCACTTGGTGGTGCCATGGGAGGTGGTGGGCCCTAAATGTATTATTTCATCCAGTGCACTATGCTGCTATATCCGCTTTCAAGAACATTGTAGATCCTAAGCTGAAATGGTCTGTGTGTTTTCGGAGCATTCTATCGCTACTCATGCAAATGCGTTGGGTCTCACGTACCGACGCTTCTCTCCTACGCAAGGAGCTCAATTGGAAGTCAATCCCACCGACGATCACCGTGTGCTGAAAGCGGTGGAGGAGCACATGGACGACTACTAGCGCTTCTGGTCGGGGTCCTCCGGTGCTTTTGCACGTCCTGCGAGTTATCGCACGCATCCGTTGCCTACAAGCAGTGGTTCCTACGCGGCACGACGCGGAGGAAATCTCCGACGTCGACGTCGCGATCTGCTCGGCCAAGGCCTGCACGCGCTGGGTAGGTACACTCAGCGACACGGACAAGCCGCTCCTCTCGATCTTTCGCACTGGTGCCGTCACCAGCGAGACTAGGAGACGAACCGGGTTCGCATGCAAGCATTGCGGTGCAACTACCCCATCGTTTCACCATGTTTGGGCTGAATGCCCGAGGTGGCACCATGCGAGATCCAACATCGGAGCTCGCTACATGCTTCCCGACAGTTTCTGGACATCTGCTCCAAGGTGTACAGCGAAGTCGGGATGGGTTACTTACGCTCTTGCTGATACCCCACAGGAGCGGACTCGAACGCTTCTGGCCTTTTGCTCTTTAGGCGTTACGATATTGGCTAGTGGAAAGGAAGACATGCTTACTGATGCTACCCCGCTACCTTATTCTAGAAGACGCCGTTTGGCAACATATGTGTAGACTAACAACTTAAGTTTGGATATGTCCCACACGCCAGGGTGTCCCATTTCATTTGTTTTTTTTTTTTCTCTCTCTCTCTCTCTCTCTCTCTCTCTCTCTCTCTCTCTCTTGGCTCCCATGAGTTGCCACGGAAGTATTCGTGGAATAGCGACCTCGAATCAAAACCACGAGGGTGCGGATACTAATATGCTCGCCGCTCGTGAAGGGGGAGGGCGAAGAGGGAAAAACGAGCAGCACTTTGTTGGGCTCGTTCTAGTGCACAAGCGCCCGCCGCAGTTTGACACACCCACGGATGGCCCAGCGACAATTGGGGTCCTTATCTCGTCGTATAGCGCTGAGCTCTTTCCACCTGCCACCGTCGTGGTATCTATTCTCTTTTGTGTAATTTGCAATTTCCGGAGCTGCTCCACTTCGAGGCTGGCGCTCAAGTCAGGGCTCGTGGGTCATACATGTTAAGCCTTCTCGTACATGCCATGGGCTTGGAGCTGGAAAAGAGCATCGCCCAGGATTGATAGCAGTGTGAATCACTGCAGGGACGGGGGAAAAGGCGGGGAGGAGGAGCCTCTTGTGGGGCCCCTTCAGTCTAGGAAGCGCGAACTTGGATTTGGGCGCGTAGATGAACGACCAGTCCTGTTTCCGTATCGAATCGGCGCGATCCGTCTCAAGCTTCGGCAGTGTATGTTTCGGGGGTGCATGCCCCGATACGTAGATACGGCGCGGACGCGTCAGACCCAAGGATCCTTACTCCATTTTCGCGCACGCCCGATTGAGGGACAACGTTTAGGCTCAGGGGAGACAGTATCGCCATCCACTCGCCCATCCAGCGCCGATAGGGGCCCGATAGCCCACCCCTGCCAGGACCATGCGGTTTCGCTATTGAGGGCCAATCGCCGATCTATCGCCGATTCCAGGTCGAAGTTTACCCCCCCCTTGAGCCAGCGGCGCCGACTGCAGCAGGCTCCTCGCCGCAGCCCGCCTCGCGCAGAGGGGGAGCAGCCCCCCCCCCCCCACACGCGGGAGCAGGCGCAGGCGGAAGAGATGCCAGAAGGCCACCGCCAGGCTCCGGAGGGCACAGCGTCCAGGCCGCACAGAAACGGAACGGGCCGGCACGAGCGAGGGCCACTGCGGGCTCAGCGGGGGGGCTCGGGAGGGGGGGGGGCGCTGATCCCGTTACGGAGGAAGCCCACGCCGAGAGGCACCCTGCTGGCCTCTAGGGGGTGCCCTGGGTTTCCTGGGTTCCGAGGGTTCTGCAGTGGAGAGCGCGGCGCTCCCACACCAACTCTCAATGGACGTCCTGGGGTCCCAGGGTTGGGTTTCTTGTGGAAGGCTTCGTGTGGTCGAGCTCCCACTGTAGGACCCATGTTGGGGAACCTGTTCGAAGCTGAGGCCTGCTGTGGCCAGAGAAAGCACCATTCGCGCTTCGAGACGGGCGGTGCCAGGGCGGCTGAGGCAAGGCCATCCTGGTCGGCGGTTCTCGTAGCAGCACGGCGGCTGCAGGATGGCCTCGCCTGGGTGGAGGAGGAGGAGGAGGAGGAGGAGGAGGAGGAGGAGGAGAGGAGGAGGAGGAGGAGAGAGGAGGAGGAGGAGGAGGAGGAGGAGGAGGAGGAGGAGGAGGAGGAGGAGGAGGAGGAGAGGAGGAGAGGAGGAGGACCGAGGAGGAGGAGGAGGAGGAGGAGGAGAAGGAGTCTGCCCGACGATTCAGCCGGGCGCGGGTTCCTGGCGGGAGGCGCGGGCCCTCGGCTGCCTTGGCACCGCCCGTCTCGAAGCGCAACACGTACGTGTCGACACGTTGCGTGTTGGCTTACCGTGTTGGCCAGCCTTTTGGCGAACGTATCGCGCCAGACTTACAGCAGGGGCGGGGACGAGCTGCCGCGTCAGCTCCCGTGGCTTGGGCATCGGCGTCATCGTATCACCGGGCGCGTTCCACTACTCGCAAAGTGCCTACAGTCGGGGCCCTGAAGAAGGAACCCTTTTCGTTGGGGAGGGGCTCCGCGTTCCTTACGTGTTTCACAGCTTGCTTCAGGTTTTCCTTAGGTTCTCGGTGGGAAATCGAAATTTAACTTATGGGAAAAAGGGGCCTCGTTCCTTATTTAGGGTTCCTGAGGTCAACGCCCCTGCTGTACCGTGCTGGCCAGCGTTTTGGCAAACGTCTCGCGCAAGACTTACGCGAAGCATTCCGACAATGGCCTTGCCTTCGAGGATCGAAGGAGTTGCCATCTTTTCCGCGGCGGAAGGCCGCGGAAGGGCGGTGGAAGGCGGCGGAAGCGAAACGAGCCGCCTCCGCCGGCGGAAGCCGGAGGAAGGGCGGCGGAAGCCTCGACGGCTCAAGACGGTTACGTCGCAGCGACGGTCGTGCCAGGTCGCAAGTCCTGGCCAGTGCTTGCCCCCAGTCGGCCGCGCCATGTCGGCTGCAGGACGCCGTGGTGGGGGAGTGCCTTGCTGATCACTGCGAGGTGAGCGTTCGCGGGGTGCCCGACCCGCGAGGACGGCAACACTGCTCTGGGACTGAGGTGGTTGCTGGAAAGAGGGCGTACGGGCGATGCGTGGCAAGCGTGCCCTGAGACGTGCAGCGAGGCTCGCGCTGTTGGTGGGAGCGGCATGGTATCGTGGACAAAAGATCACGCGGGCCACAGCCGCACAGTTAGTCACTCCAGAGATTCTGCACGAGGCGGCCCAACGGCCACATCGAGCTGATGATAGCACGCTGGAAAAAGTGAGGAGGGAGAGTGACCAGCTGGAGCAGAGGGCCGCGTGGAAGCAAAGAACGCTGAAGGTGTGGAGTTTCAACGTGGAGTCGCTGCGCAGGGTGGGTCGTTTGGACGAATTATTAGAATTGGCAAGGAAGGAGGAAGTGGTCATCTTCACCATGCAGGGCACGCGGATGGACCTGGGCAAGACATGGCAGTCGGGAGCATTGGAGGTGCACTCGCTGGCGAGATCGGGACGCGGCCAGCGTGATGGGTGCCTCACGGCCATCAATATGAAGTTATTCCAGAAGGGTGAGGTCAGGTGTGAGCACGCTTGGATGGAGGGAAAACTGCAGGGAGCTCGGCTCAGGAACCCGCGCAACAAGAGGCTCGGGCGGGACATCTATGTGCTGAATGGCTACTCGCCCACGAATGAGGCGGGCCATGTGCCCAAAGGAGTTGAAGCAATGGAGTATCGTGAGAAGCACCTAGAGAAAAGAGATTTGTTATGGCAGATATGCCGTCGAGCCGTGGGTCAGGTTCCTGCTCGCTCGTCGCTCAGATTCACACTGGGCGCCAACGCACACGTCCCACCGTTGCTGCCTTGGGTAGGTTTTGCAGGTGCGCGTCGGTCGGGCCCCTCGATCAATGGCAACGGCCACGCGATGATGGACTTGATGGAGGACTACGGGCTGATGGCACTCAACGCGTTCGGCAAGCGAGGACGATTCAATGGCACGTGGAGGAGCCCGCAAGGTACATGGACGACGATTGACTATGTGTTGGTGCGCAGGCGGGGCGGATACGGACACTCAAGCTCCCCTCGTGCTGACCTACCTGTCAACCTGGGCGGCTACAGGGACCACAGGCCGCTGGAGTCTCGAATCTTCGCGGGTGTGAAGGCAAAGACAGTGAAGGATGCAGGCAGACACAGATGGCGTCGAGAGCTCATGGTCGCGGACGTGCTCAAGGCGCAGCAGGCGGAGGAGGACCCCGACAACCAGGTGCCGCCCCCCAACCGCGTGCTCAACTTTCGGGCGAAGGTTCAGGAAGGGATCGTGGCGAAAGGGCTTCAGGAGGACTGGTCCGACATCTGCGGCACTGGCAGGCGATATGAGTCCCCCACTGAGTACTTCAATGAGCTGGAGGGCGTGGTGATCGAGGCGGCGCTGCAGGACTATATTTCACCACCGGTGACGAGACGAGCAGGCGGGCCAGTGTTCAGCGACCAGACGGTTCGACTGATCAAGGCAAAGCACTACTGGCAGTATCAGCTTGCAGCTACTACTGACGGTGCTCGGTGGATGCGGGCCCAGTTCCAGGCGCGCTTCAATGAGGCGGCGAAGCAGGCGACGGCGGTGATCAGGAGTGAGAAGCGGCAGCGGACGGCGGCGCTAGCAGACGAGGCGGAGCGAGCGGCAGGTCAGAGGAACTTGCGGAGGCTCCACGCCATTGTGAATAAGTTGCCCCCGAAGCCAGCGGCGCCAATCATGACAGCGAAGGACCCGAACACTGGGCTACCGTGTTTCGACGCTGAGGACGACCAGAGAGTGCGTATTCAGAGCACCTGCGACGTGTGTGACGGCACAGCGATGAGCCTTGATGAGCGGCCTCTTCATGCTGGCAGGAAGGAACGCGATGACGACAGGACCGGCAGCTATGGCCATGCGGAGGTGAAGGAGAGCATCATGGAATTGCCGAACATGAAGGGGGGGACCTATGCTGCAGTGGCCTACGAGGGGGCCGCCTGTGGGCGCTGTTGCTGGGTCTAGGAAGCTAGCGATTGACACGCTCGCGCGGCCCCTCCTGCAGGTTTTCCAAAGCGGCGCAGGCGCTGGGCGACGCACCCCAGAGGTTCAAGGATGGCGAGACTATGCAGTTGAGGAAACCCAAGGGCGACGGCTGCACGGCATCGACGGACTACCGCACCATCAACTTGATCAACTACGTCGGCAAGGCGCACGCCAGAGTCACTACACTTGATGCGATGAGAGAGAGGTGGCGCACAAGATTTCACCAACGCAGTTTGGAGCTATGCCTGGGCGGGGTGCACGAGATGCGGCGGCAGTGGCAGGCGAAGTAATTGTTCGGCATCAGAGAGAGCACCGAGCCAAGCGACGAGCAAGCACTTCAGCCCCACCTCCTATGCTGCTGGCAGTCCTCACGGACATCGAGAAGGCTTTCGACGCAGTGGTTCGCCAGGATATTTGGCAAAGCTTGGAGGCGCTTGAACTGCGGTGGGCTGCCCGTGCGACTCTTGAGGAGCTCCATGAGGGCATGTGCTACCTGTTCCGTGATGTTACCACCCATGTGCCAGTTGCTCGGATATGGGTCAAGCAAGGTGTGCGACAGGGCGGGGTTGAGAGTCCAGGCCTAGTTGTGGCGGTCTATGACGGGATTGCATATCGGATTATGGATCAACTGCAACAGTTGGAGCATCCAGCCATCAAGGTGCACTGCGACCCCACGCTCAAGAGGACCAGGTGCAACGACAGCTTGACTGAGGAAGAGTGCGAGGCCCTGGGCGCTTCTCAGTTGAAGTTCTTAGATGTTTTGCTCACGTTCGCTGAATTCGGGAAGTACGGATGCATCCATCATCTTGGAAGTACTGAAGGGTGAGACCAAGGCTGGCGGCATGAGAGTCAACGGGAGGAAGGCCGAGATACTGCTCACGCCGTCGGGGGTCGGCAGTAAGAGATGGTTGAGACATATTCGAGCGCGTACTACGGGCATAAAGACGTGGGAAGACGATGACTACTTCCCGTTGCACCCTCAGCCGACGGTCAAGTACTTCGGGGTGCCACTGGCGGCGACGGGCACCCACCAAGCAGAGGTCGCGAACCGCGTCGAGGCAGCTAACTCTACTAATGCCCGTCTGATACGCTGTGCGTTCAAGAGTGGGTTCAGTACAAAGTTGAAGATCCGATTGTGGAAGGCACTGGTCCGCTGGGTGCGCTTGCACTGCCTGGAGGTCGCACACCACGCCAAGCGGGAGCTGGACAAGTTGGAGAGCTGGCACGTGAAGAAGCTTCGTGGATTGTTGAATTCGCCAGCCCACCTGTACAAGACTACCAACCGTGAGATCAGGAAGCGGGCCCGTGCGCCGACTGTTACGAGCACACTGTTACTGAGAAGGTTGAGGTGGTGGCGACAAGTGTTGAGGCCTGCCTTCAGGGAGCTAAACGAGGACTTGTACGATCCGACGCTGGCGGTCAGGGCGGCCATCTTCGGTCGATTCTCGTTTGAGTGGAACGGCCAGGGGGGGCAATCTGGCATGCTGACTCTGCTGCTGGACGACATGCGGCAGATGTGGCAGACCGGGAACGAGCAGGAGAAACTCACTGCCCGTCAGCTCTTTCAGCTTCGCGGCGACATACCTGAGCTGGCCGAGCCGTGGCTGCGCTGGCTCGCAGACCTTGAGCCGCGCTGCCTTCGCCGCGTGCTGACTTATGGCGGCGAGACGGACGCTGTAACTGATGTTGCAGCCATCCTGTGGCTGGAGCGCGACGTGCGTGGTCAAAAATGCAAGGGGGGAAAGGGGCTAGCCAACCACAAGCATGCCGCTCATAAGGTGCATGCAAACCCAGCAGCTGAAGCCCTCACGGACACGGACTTGAAACAAAAGAAATGCCCCCATTGCCAGAGGACATACACCAGGAAAGACACGTTGGTGAGGCACAGTAAACAGAAACGTTGCACGGCCCGCCCTAGTGAAGGTGAGGCTCAATCCAGACATGCAGAACTTCCAGCGCCCGCAGCCCCCTCTGTCGAGCTCGCCCCAGCTGCTGCCGGCGATGTTCCAGCCGAGCAGCGAGGGGCAGGCGATGGCGGGCAGCTGCGCCAATTTGAGGACGGCGGTCGAGACAAGGATCGGGGGCGAGGGCATGGGCGACCAGCCCGACATAGTGGGCATCCTGGGCGCGGCGCTCGGCAGCTTGGCCCAGCAGCGCGAGGACATGGCGAGGGCGGCACAACGCGACAATTTCGTGATCCCACCCAAGCCGTCGCAGAAGATGGCGATCATACTCGACCAGGCACTGGCGCACTGCTCAGATGAGGGCGCCAAGGCCATGGTGAGGGTGAAGGAGATGGAGGTCTTCCTGGGCAACCTGATCGGCACGCGGCCAGACGCGAAGGCACATGTCCTGTTCCGCGCGGAGGAGGCCGTGGAGGGCATGGAGGAGGCGGTGCTGGTGGCCGCCGCACCGGACGAGCTCCTGCGCTACGGGACGATGGTGCAGGACCAGCGGCTAAAGTTCGTGGCGACGAGGTGCATCAAGGTGATGACCAAGAACGAGGGAGTGGCCCTCGTAGAGGGCGAGTGCAAATGGATCTTCGCGGTGAACCACTACCTGGATTTGAAGGGGGCGCTGGAGTAGGCGCTGAAGATGGTGATGGCCGCAGCGGGCGTGAGCCCCCACCCAGTACGACATGGCGACGAGGTCGAAGATGGCCAAAGGGGTGGAGTCGTCGGCGCTCAAGGGCGGCAAGGGGGCTCAGGACTGAGGACGGCCTCCTCAGCACCGACGTCGTTCCGTGAGGTGCAAGGCTTTGCCGTTGACGCCGAGAACCTTCCCTCTTCCTCCTCCTCTCCGTTCGACCTCCCTCTCCCACCCCCCACCTCACAGACACAGCTCGAGAAATATTTTAGAAGGGGATCACGCTAAGGCGCGGGGACCTTTTTGTGCCTCCCCTCCACCAGGGAGGGGGGGGGCGCCCCCGCATGTGCCATCCCCACAAGCGCAGGGGTGCGCGGGGCGCGGGGCTGAGGCCGTCGGCCTGCCGCTCCGCGCCCGCTGTCCGTTTCCAGGGCCTCGTTTCGGATTGGAAACGCGCCGCGTCGTTTTCACGGTTGCGCTTGGGCCCCCGCTAAACTCCCGAGGCAAAAAGGAAGAGCGGCGGAAGGCGGCGGAGGCACAAGATGCACCCCCCAAGAGACGAACAAAAACGCTTTTGGGTTCAAGGTTATCGGAATCTGCCACGTGTTCGGTCTGCGTGTGGAGCTCCGTGTCAGCACGTGACGGGCTGCGTGCGGCGCATCGGGGCAGCCCTAGGGGCCTCGCTCGTGGAGCTTCTGCCCCTGGGGGAGCTCCGGCTTCTGCCCCCTCTGCGCCGCCCTTTCGAAGAGCCCGGCATCGCTCGGACGTGTGTGTGTTTTTGTGTCCCCTCGGCGAGGACCATCAGGGAGGATCTTTCGGCGGCGAGCGATGGGGGAAGTGAAAGGGAGAAGGCCTCTTCAGAAGGCGGCGGGGCTTCTCAGAAGCCCTCGCGCCTTCTGAGAAGTGTCCTGTGTCTCCGGGGACAGCTCAGGAAACTTCTCAGAAGTCTGGGGGACTTCCCAGCCTGCTGAGAAGGCCCGCCCCTTCTCGCTTCCCCCCCTCGTTCGCCGCCGGGCGCAAAACGAAGCACGACATCGAGACACGCACGCGGACTGGACGCCCGAGGGATGGCAGGAGAGAGGCGCCGCGCCCCCGCCGCCCCCATGCGGCGCGAGGGGCGACGGCGTGGAGCGCGGAGCGGAAGGGGGGAGGGATGCCCCTCGGCGCCCTCCCCCGCAGTGCACGGCGCGGCGGCGCGCCGACGGGGGGCGCGAGAGGGTCGGCGGGGCTCTCCCCGGATGCCCCCCCTCCGGCTGCCGCGGGGCCAGCCCTGCGGCTCCAGAGGGGGCTCAGGAAGCTTTTTCTGAAAGGCTTCTTGAGACGACGACGACGACGACGACGACGACGACGACGACGACGACGACGACGACGGCGGCGGCGGCGACGGCGGCGACGGCGGCGGCCGCGGCGACGACGACGACGACGGCGACGACGGCGGCGGCGGCGGTGGCGACGACGACGACGACCACGACCACGACGCGCCCTTTGTGCGCCTCCTGAGAAGGTCCGCCCCGCTCTGCCTTCCCCCCTGGGCGCGCCTCCTGGCAGGAGGAGGGGGAAGGGAGGGGGGGGGTCCCGACGGGGGAGGGGGGAGCGAGGAGGAAGAGGAGGAGCGAGGGAGGGGGGGAGGGGAGGGGAGGAAGGGGTGGATGGGGAGGGGAGGAAGGGGTGGAGGGGAAGGAAGGGGGCAGGGGGGGGGGGGGGACACGGAGTGGGAGGAGGGTCGGCGTTCTCGGATGGGAGGGAGGGCGCTCCCGCGGCGGAGGGAAGGGAGGGAGGGGAGGGAGAGAGGGAAGGGAGGGGGAAGGGAGGGGCGGGGGCTCCTCCGTCCCTCTTCCTTTTATACCGAGTTCCCCACGGTCGCACCCCGAAAAACCAGTCGAAAGGGCGGGCCGGGCGTTTCGCTTGAGATTTCCTCACCATTTATCCTCCTGAAGCTTAGAATGTGCTGCAGCTTCACGGATGGAGGGCGGGTCGCTTTCAAAATGAGGGCTCGTTCTAGCGCCGCGCGCATTCGCGTTTAAAGCTTGCAAGAGCTTCACGGATGGAGGACGGTGTGTTTTCAAATGGTGGTTTTCGCTTTAGCGCCGCGCACATTCGTTTCAAACTCTTGCAAGAGATTCATGGATGGAGGGCAGTCCGTTTTCGAAATTTGGCTCTCGCTTCAGCGCCGCGCATATTCGTGCTAAAAGCTTGCAAGAGCTTCACGGATGGAGGGCGGCTCCTGTTCAAAATGTGGTTCTCGCCTCAGCGCCGCGCACAAAAGTTCTCAGAGCTCGCACCTGTTTCACGGGTTCTTGTGGTTAACATGCCAGAAAGAGCGTGTTTTGGCACGATGTCAGAATGTCAGGGCGCAACGGACAATTGCAAAACAAACCCAGGATTGCAATCTCACGTTGAATTGCAAAAAACACTTTTTTGCAATCCTTTTTTGCAATCCTTTTTTGCAATCTCACGTTGATTCGCGGTGTTGAAGCTCCGGGAATGGTGTCTTGGCACGATTCGGCATCGTCAAGACGCAGCAGTGATGGTGATTCGCAGCGTTGAAGTCTTAGGAACGATGAAAAAAAAGGACATTGGAGGGAGCGTTTATTGCAATACGGTTGATGGGTCTTGTGGTTCCACTGGTCCTCCTCTTCCTCCTCCTCCTCCTCCTCTCCTCCTCCTCCTCTTCCTCCTCCTCCTCATCCTCCTCCTTCTTCTCCTTCTCCTTCTACTCATCATCCCCCGAATTGGATTCGAATGCTCCCTGACTGCATCGTAGCTGTCACTGAGGAGGAGGGGGAAACGAGGGAGAGCGGGTGCGCAAGGAGGCGAGGGGGCGAGGCGGGCGGGCGGGCAGGACGGACGGCATGGGGGAGGAGAGAGAGGTACGTATGTAGATGTGCATGTTACGGCCATATCTCATGATCTCGCATTGGTTGCGCTCGGTCCTGATCGCGTCAACATCGTGCTGCCAGGTGACTTCAACCTGTACGAGTGCCCGCCGCTACACCTCCATGCACCAGAGCTCACTGACCGCATTGCCGCCGATGCTGCACCTAGGCCTCTGCAGCGTCAATGGGATGACATCTTCGCGAGGCTCACTGAGGCCGATAACGAGCTCCCGACCCACTTCACGTCGTTCGACCAAGTTCCTCGCCTGACCCACATTGACCGCATCTTCACTGCGATGCCGCCGTGGGTCACGCTCCAATGGCATTTTGACATTGCCACCTCGCCGAACACCTACACGAGCAAGGTCTATCGTTACTGTACGTCCGAGGCAGGCCACCCCCGACGACCAGCGTTCGATCCCGTCCTTCTTATTCGACGAGCCCGAGTTCGTCACGGTCACTGTGCTGCGGTGGACTGGTCTGCTTTCACTGTATATCAACGCCGAGTTGAACATAAACGTCTCATGAAAGAAGCTGCTCGTCATTTTCGCAACCGTCTCATCAAGCTTGGGGACACTTCGTGGGAGGCACAATTGATTGTTTATCGTTTTATCGCACGTGCTGTATGGACGAACGACCACGTGCTGGCGAAGAAGCTTCGAGAACCAAGTCTGATCGCATTTCGGCGCATCTCGTCCACTGGCCACAAGATTTCCCTCATCGATGCCGCTGGGTTCGAGGCGGACTTCCAGCTAGCACTGAACACCTTCTCTGAGAAGTGCATGGCGCACCTCGACGACATGCAGAATCGCAAGCCCCCTGACGACACGTCCTATAAGCTGGTCAGCGGTATGCGTCGTTCCCTCCGTCGGCTTGCTGCTTTGTGGTTCCCGTTCAAGAAGACACTGAAGCTACAAGGTTTCAAGCTCCCAGACGGCGAGGTCGGGCTTCGCCCAGCTGATGAACGTGAAGATGCATCAGCCGCTTTGCACACCCACTGGTCTCCTGTATTTCAGCACAAGAGCAGCCCGTCCAAAGCTGTTCTGAAGTATCTTAATAAGTACTACGTCTCCATGGATTCTCTGACTTCGCATCGCCTGATGCGCGGCCACTGGAACGGCTGCTGGTCCTGATGGCATACCGGACACGGCCCGGGCGAAATCACCACGTGCTCTCGGGGACCTCGCTGAGATGACCCGCGTGATCTCCACGGGCCACCCACCGCCGCACGAGTGGAACGATCACCTCATGGTCTTCACACCCAAGGACAAGGCGGATGGCGATCTCACGTGTGGCGCATGCCGCGACGCTGCGCGCACCCACGCCCTGGCTTTAAAGAGCGCAGATAACAAGATCGTGGCGGCCGCCGTGAACCGCTCGATCAGGCATGAGCTCTCCCTCAAGTGCCATGTCTCGCAGCGAGGCTTTCGCGCTGGGCGCAACTTCCTCGACAATGTCGCCCTCCTCGACACGGTGGGCCGCGCCGCTGGTTTACAGGACCTCAGGGAGGTAAAGCAGCCGTTCTTGGCCCTCTTCGACTTCGGCGATGCCTTCCCATCCTTGGCCCATGACTGGCTGGAGCTCACCCTGGCGCACGCGGGTATGATGGGGTGCCCTTCTGGAGCTAGCCCTCGGCTTCTACTTCTTCCCGACGGCGTATATTTTGGAGTCTGGGGTGTTTCGGCTTGTCCTCTCCGCTGCCTCGGGAATAACCCAGGGCTGTCTGCTCTCAGGCTCGCTGCGGGCTATCGGCATGAACCCGTTCGTGGAGCATCTCGAGCTCATCACTAGTGTGTCCGAGCTCTGCGCGCTCGGGGTGTGCGCGGACGACGCCGGCTCCATCATCCACGACGGGCGGATACTCTTGCGTTTCTGGCGTGTCTTCCGCGCCGCTGACGCTCTCGCTGGTCTACGTCTCAAGATGCCCAAATGCATATTAGTACCGATCGGAGCCCCCTTCAGTGCCGGGGTTGCTCAAGAGATCAGGCCTTGGTTAGCTGCTCATATACCGTCTTGGTAAGCGATGACGGTCGCTGGTCGAGGGGAATACCTCTGCAAGCTGATGGAGCCTGCCGTAACACTCAATGACGTCTGGAAGTCCGCTGGTGGCAAGTGGCTGCGTCGCGTGCTTGAGCTGGCTGCCGTCGACGGACCTGCCCACATCACCACGCATCTGTACAACACACGCGCAATGCCTACCCTCGGATACTTGGCCTAGCTCTTCCCCATCCCGCGTGCGATCAGGTGCCGCGAGGGGTGGGCTCTGACCAAGCTGCGGCACCTGCCGCCGCAGCGCCTCGCAAGAGCGGACTCCCTCGGCCTCGCGACCTGGTCTACTTTGAAAATGCTTTCTGTCAATGTCTATCCGGCAGTTTCGATGATGCGAGAAGCCGAGGACACTGTTTCCAATTGGTGTGAACTGTTCGTGTTCCTTCAGCAACAGACCAGGGACCACGGCACCCTCGCCGAGACCGGCATGTGCTGGCGCAGTCCGTGGTGCTGACACACCATCCCGATCGTCTTGCGCTTGCACCATGCTGCCAACGACTTCGTCGACGGCAACGACCTTGGCATCTCCAAGTTGTCGGACGCTGCACGTGCTGTTCGTGCCGCGCTCCGTGCAGCCCAGGCGAGTGAAAACCCAGCGTGCCCTCACCCTCTCCCTCTGACGTGCCCTCTACCTTGACAATCGCCACATTTTCCTTGCACGTAGGTTCAGAGCCTGGAAGCTGCCCCCTTGTAGGCCTTGCTGAATGGAGCGCCCTCCGAGACCTTTTAGCCTCCGGTGCCCCGCCAAAGCTGGCAATCCGCCGTGATAAATACAATAGGCGGGGGGTGGTTCACCAGCAGCATGCTGCACACGCAGGACGGCCCCAGGCGACGTTTGTTCAGATGTGATGCTTGCCGCCTGCCTCCGCACGCCACGGACCAGTTTTCCCACTACGTTCGGTGCCCTGCATTGTGGAGCATTGTATATCACGCCCCGGTGCCGCTTCCAGGGTTCGCGGCGAGTCGGATTGGCTTGGGCGGCGAGCCGTCTCCAGGGGATGTAGAGCGTAGAGTGCTGGCGTACCATCTGCGCAACGCTGCCCGTGCCCAGCCGTGGCCTGTGGAATCCCAGGACCACGTTCAGCACATGTACGACGCACGGCGCGCAGCTCGAGCCTTCGTGGACAGATCCAGAGCTTCGCTCTAGCTGTTCTTGCGCTCTGTACGCCGCTGCGTTGGTTTCCCCCTCGGCCCTGGTCGGCGGGCCCTGGCCCTTGCGGCTCCGCCCACCGGGTGCATGGGGGGAGTACTGCGCAGTGGTGTGCCGCCTGGATGCACCCTCACCTGCACATCGGGCACGTCCTGTCGCACGCAGTGCTCGATATATGCTCTGCCGCGGTTGCTACCGCCTCGCGTCAGTGTTGTGGGGGGCGTCATGGTTACGAGCGATATGTATATATATATATAGAGAGAGATAGATAGACAGATAGATAGATCGATAGATAGATATATATATATATATATATAAAGAGAGAGAGAGAGAGGGGAACGAGAGAGAGAGAGAGAACAACAACAACAACAACAACAACAACAACAACAACAACAACAACAACAACAACAACAACAACAACAACAACAGCAACAACAACAACAACAAAAGGAGAGAGAAGGAGAAGGAGAGAGAGAGAGACAGAAAACACATATTGATATAGAGAGAGAGAAACCGAACATGAGAGAGAGAGGGAGAGAGAGACCGGTCGCGCCAGTATTATGGGAAGCTTCCGACGGCAGCGGACGAGCGCAGATCCGCCATCTTGAGTCTATTCGAGCGAGCCTTGTGGCGCACCGCTGCTCCCAAATTAGTTTCTCGACTCTGCTCGGCCAGGGGCACACGGTGAGTGCATGGAGGCTTGGTTTCTCTTTGGTGAATGCATTGTTTGTTTGCCCCCCATCGGCACCGTCGCATGCTGGCGATACGCGCGGGGACGGGCTGTGACCAAGGCAGAGGGGAAAGAGAGAGGGTTTGCTCCAATGCGGTCAGACTGCGGTGCGGCGTTCGGGGATCGCTTCCCCTCCCAGACCTCCTCCCCTCCCCCGGAGGGGGGAAAGTCTTGCAGACGAGGGCAGTTGGTGAAGCGGAGTTGGGCGTGAGTGTTGCTGCAGGCCGGACCGCTCCGCGCGCCAGAGGGCCCCAGCACCGATCCAGTCATTGTGGACATCGTGAATCGAAGCATCCTCTAGGGCTTGTGCATCTACGCCTCGGCCCAGCAGTGTGCGCCTGGGCGGCCCCAGGCAGGAAGCTACAGGCCGGCGCGACGACTAAGTCGACCCTCGCACCTCCCGGAGGGCGAGGGGAGGAGGGTGGAGACAGGAGCTCCGCAAGGAGGTTGGTGCGCGCAGGCGAGGAGGCGATGGCGCTGCCAGAAGGTGTGGGTTTCCACCAGCCCCGACGGGGGCCGCCAGGCGGCGGCGGGACCCAGAAGCCCAACACCCGAGAGGCACACCTGCGCATCTGAAGGATCCTTCGCCAGAGTGAACTTTGGTGTGCGGCTTTCGGGGGTCGCGGGGGGGGGGGGACAGTTTGCGTAGCGTGTCGCGCTGCCGGTTCTGGCCCACTGCGCCTCGGCACAGCACGCTCAGCACGTTCCCGTTGTTCAGGCATCCCCGTCCCGAGCTCTTCCCAGCTTCCCGTCTCGCGGAGCGGAGCGGCACGCTGACAGCTCGCAGGGCACAGAGCGTCGTTGGGGCCGCGGCCACGATGCGCCAAGCAAAAGTTCCTGACCGTGGCTGAAGCGAGCAGGTTGCACTCTCATGGGGGGCAGTGTTTTTTCTGAGCTGAATCTGATACCACTAGTCGGAGGGGCGTATCTCTGCACCGATCTGTCCTGGGCGTAGAACTTCTACCAGGGAGTTGTTTGGGCGTCGATATGTGTCTTACGACAAGACGTCGTTGACATATATCCTTCGCTTTCCCTCCGCAGCACCGTCCGTCTCCCTCATCCTTCCCCCTCCCACCTCCCCCTCTCCTCCGCTCGAAGACGCCGCTGCTGCGTTACCAGCTGCATCCTGCTGCCGTCGCGTCGCCGCCATCCGTTGCTGTTGTTAGCGAAAGTTGCGATCAGCTCGGCAATTCCCTCGCACGGATCGTGCCTCGTGGGGGGGATTCATCTACGGTCCCAGTGGGTCCGCGCCTGCGCTCGTCTGCATTCCCGAGGCTGCGGGGGCCTCCGAAAAATCCGAGAAGCACAAGGAAAAAGCACACGGCCCAACTTGTGTGTGTAACATTCCGTGGCGACGAGATTTTGCGAATGTGTCAGGCCAAACGGCCCACCGAAGTTTCATACACCGATCAGGCCACTGGCACTCAGACTGTGAACCCCCGGGCCGAGGAGGCTCAGGGTTTCGACGACGTCGCAGCGTTTCCAGGGCGGGGTTCGAGGCGCAAACTTCCAGATGCCGAGGCGAAGGAGTTTCGAGCGGGGTGGGGCGGGGGGCGTTGGCACAGCAGCCGGAGGGGAGCGGGGACCGGGCGGAGTCGCTCTGCGCCCCCCCCCCCGCCGTGGCCCAACGGCAGGTGTGGGGTTCCAGGTGCTTGAACAGCTGCGGCCAGGCCTGCGCCTGTGCACACGCGCCCTGGTCGTGGCGCGCGAGGTTCGTGCCTCATGTCGGCAGCGGTGCCAACGCCGCTCAATCCCGACATTCGCCCTGAACGGGTCGGTGTGTATGATGTAAGTACATGAATGTATGTATGTGTGTATATATATATATATATATTCACACACGCCTCCCAATACTTCCCATGCACGTCGAGCCATTTGGGGACGTCTTGGGGCGCTCTTGTGCCAGCGTGGACGCCTCGGGGATCTATTGAGCCGTCTTGGGGCACGCTTCCGACCGCTTGGAAGCCCGACAACAGAAGGGGGCGGCATATCGGCAGACGTGGCGCGGCAGGCCCGTCCCCGTGGCTCGGCGGTGAGAGTTCTGGAGCCTGCCGCTGCGAATAGAGAGAGCTGCACTCTGGGAGGCCGCCTGGGTCGTCGTCCTCTGCCCTCGGCATCGCTCGGACGTGTGCTTTTTTTTCTCGGCGAGGACCATCGAGGAGCATCCTTGATCATTTGGCGAAAAAACCACGCACGAAACCGAAAAATGCACTGGAAATGGACGTCCGAGCGATGGCGAGTGTCCCCGTGGCTCGGCGGTGAGAGCTCTGGAGCCTGCCGCTGCGAATAGAGAGAGAGCTGCACGCTGGCAGGCCGCCTGGGTCGCCCTCCCCTGCCGCACCAGTGTGAAGTCGGGCCTGTCCCCCTACAGGGGGAATAGTCCCAAATTTGCCACAAAATAGTGTGGGGACGATTGGTTTTTAGTATTTTTGCTTGACCCTTTTGGGGCACTCTTGGGGGCATTTTTATTAAATTGTTTCCTCCAAAATCCCCCTGTAGGGGGACAGGCCCGGCCTAACACCGCTGCTGGGTCGGACGAGGGGGGGGGGGGTAAAACAGGGCTAGGATCGGGATAAATCGCTCCAGAGCGTTCCGGAGCGCTCTCAGAGCGTTCCCGAACGCTCTGGAGCGGCCGCGGCGCCCCATACGTCCTCCAAACCCGCCGATTCTCAGAGATTTCGAGTTATCCCGATCCGATTTTGTCCCGATCTTCGCGTCGTCTTAGGGGGGGTGCTAGAGGGACAGGGGGCGCGCGAAGCCTGCGGCACGCGCCCCGGCCTCGGCCCCGCCGCCGGGCGCATTCCTCGACGCGCTGGCGCCTCCGGCGCCAGGGGGCGCCGGGAGAACCAGCTGCGCAAGCTGACTGTCTAACCCATTTTTGTTCTCCCCCTCCTCCTCCTCCTCCTCCTCCTCCTCCTCCTCCTCCCCTCCCTTCTCCTCCTCCTCCTCCCCTCCTCCTCCTCCTCCCCTCCTTATCCTCCTCCTCCTCCTTCGCCTCCTCCTCCTCCTCCTCCTCCTCCTCCGCCTCCTCCTCCTCCTCCTCCTCCCCCGTCCGGCCCGACATCGTCCGGAAAACTTCGGCTGCTTGCGCCCCGTCTCCGAGCCTCGGCGGCGCAAGCCCGTGGATACACCATGGAGACGCCTCTGCGCCGCGGGCTGGACCAGGCCTCCCTGCGGGACGATCTCAGCGGGTTGCGCTATTTCGCCGACTACGCCCAGGAGCGAGGGGATGCTTCCTTTTCTCGTCATCCGTGGTTCTCTTGCTTCGGGCATGCATCGAGGTGCCTGCGGCAAGTCCGGCCACCGTGGCAGCCCAGCAATCCGGGTGGCGACTGGTTCGAGAGGCGCACAGGAGGCCGCAACGTGCGACACTTCGTGTCGCCAAGCTCGGGGGCGACGTAACGTGTGACATGCTCTTCCACTTCGCGTCGGTGTGTCCCTCCTCGTTCTCGGTGCCCGCCTCGTGGATTATACTTTAAGAGTAGCGCCTGCGCAGACATGACATCTAACACCTCCGCCGTTTCGGGGCCATCGTAATTTTGCTGTTGTAAGGCCGTCCTGGAAAATAGCGGAAATCAATCTGATTACGATGATTCATGAGGAGGAGGAGAAGGAGGAGGGAGATATTGAGGAGTGTGTAGGTGTGATGAGGAGGAGGCGGAGGAGGAGCAGGAGGCGGAGGACGAGGAGAGATGGAGGATGTGGTGGACGAGGTGGAGGGGGAGCACGATGACGATGATGATGATGATGATGATGATGATGATGATGATGATGATGATGATGATGATGATAATGATATCGATGATGATGATGATGATGATGATGATAATGATGAGGATGATGATGTGGATGATGTGGATGATGATGATGATGATGATGATGATGATGATGATGGTGGTGGTGGTGGTGGTGATGGTGACGGTGTTGTTGCTGATGGTGATGTGTATGATGACGATGATGAGGATGATGATGCCGATGGTGATGATGTTGATGATCGTGGTCATGATGATAATTATGGCTGTGATGATCTTGATGGCCACAATGATGAGCATGATGGTGATGGTGGTGATGATGATGATGTTGACGATTATGATGCGGATGTGATGATGACAACGCTCATTATGATGATGAGTATGATGCGTATGATGTTGATGATGATGATGATGGTAATGCTGATTGTGGTTATGACGATGATGACGACGGCGACGATGATGACGATGATGATGATGATGCTCGTGCTGATAGTGATGACGATGATGGTGATGATGATGATGCTGATGATGCTGATGATGATGCGTGTGTTCATGCTGATGATGGTGATGGTGATGGTGACGGTGATGATGACGATGATGATGATGATGATGATGCCGGTGATCATGATCATGCTGACGATGATGGTGTTGATGATGACGATGATGTTGATCATGATGATGATGATGATGGTGATGATGCTGATGATGATGATGATGATGATGGTGATGGTGATGGTGACGGTGATGATGATGATGGTGATGATGCTGGTGATGAGGACGAGGATGAGGACGAGGATGAGGACAAGGATGACGTAGGGGAGGAGGAGCAGGAGGAGGAAGGTGAAGGCCGTCACATGTGACACCTCCCATGTTCTCTTATTCAGGAGCTATCATGTTTTTTTTGGGGGGCGTCTTGGGGTTGTCTCGAGTTCCTGTGGGGCAGTCTTGGGGGTCCCTTGGGTGCCTCTTCGGCTGCCTTCAGGCCCTCTTGGGCCGCCCTGGGGCCGTCGTGGGGTTCCTCGGGGCCGCCGTGGAGCCCTCATTGGGGCAGCTTCGAGCAGTCTGGGGGCCTCCTAGGCCGACATTGAACCACTGCGGCGCCCTTCTTGTGCCAGCTTGTAGGCTGGGCTGTCTGGGGACATGTTCGGGATCGCAGCGGCCCGTGCTTCGAAGATTGCGGGTCGACGGATCTTCGACCGAAGAGCGTGGAAGGAAACGTGTGTTGACGTGTATTGGCACTGTGTTGGGCTTTTTCAGGGCGTCCTGGAGAGGCTTTGGGCAGCGAGTTGGGGTCTTTTTGAGTCCTTTTGATTTGCATTCGGCGCCTCTTGTGTCTCTTGAGATAAATCGGCGGCGAGCGAGGGGGGGAAGTGAGAAGGAAAAAGACTTCTCAGAAGGTTCGGAAGTCCCCTGGCCTTCGGAGAAGTCTTCTAAGACTTCCCCGAAGACAAACAAACACTTCTCAGAAGGCGCGAGGGCTTCTGGGAAGTCCCGCCGCCTTCTGAGAGGGCCTTCGCCTTCTCATTTTCCCCCCTCGCTCGCCGCCGAGTAATGTTCGGCTGTCGTGGCGGCCTCGGTGGCCTTCCTGGTTCCTCTTGACGTGGCGTCGCTCGGACGTGTGCATTGTTTTCTCGGCGAGAAGCATCGAGGACCATCCTGGACCATCGAGCAAAAAAGAAAGAACACGCACGAAATCGAACAATGCACGGGAAATGGACGTCCGAGCGACGGCAAGTTGAAAGCTGCGGAGAGCATTGGAGGGCGCCAGGCAGGCGTCGGGGCGCCCAGGAGCTCTCGGGTGGTGTGTGGGGGGGGAGACGGTGCACGCGGCACTTTGCTGGGAAAGGGAGAGACTTGAAGGGGGCTTGCAGTGGAGACCCATGCCAGGAAGCACCCCGCTTGCCTCCAGTGGGCCCTAAAAGGCGCTCCTTTGCAAGTACGTCGGCTACGGCACCGCATGATTCCGAGGCTTTGCCTCCTCCCGGCCTCGTCCTGAGGCTGCGCCCCCCTTCTCCTCCCCCATCTGTGGTTAATTCAAGCTTCGCGCGGCCCGCTTAGCTTCGACCGGAAGAGGTGCGCTCTCGACCCGCGAATCAAAAAAGCCTCCAGGGGGCCCTGGGTTACTTGGGTTTCGATGGTTTTGCCGTGTAAGGCGCGACGCTCCCGCACCAAGAGTCCATGGACGTCCCGGGGTCTCCGTCTTGGGTTTCTTGTGGAAGG